CTGTGTCTGAGAGTGCCTCTCTTGTTCTAATTTTTAGTCTTGGTTTAGTAGGGGTTCTTGGTTAAATTGGTGCTATTGGGCTATTTCTTCAGGGGCAGTAGATCTCAGTCAGTGAAGTATATACTTATGATTCTGGTGATCTGGTTTGGTGGCTGTGCAGCGCCTTCTTCTGTGTTCCCAGGTCATGTTTTGTTCATCCGTCAACTCCTCAGCTGATCTTGTTTCTTCAGACTTCCAGCTGTAGGCATCTGAATCCTCTCCCAGATGGGTTTCAACTGAGCAGGGTAGTCTCACCAACACCTCCAAGTTGTTGGGTTTTGCAGGATCAGCAGCTGGGCCCTGGGTTGTCCTCAGACGGAGTGTTTAGATTCGTTCTGGTTGCGTCCCACGGAGATAGCTTCTTTCCCGGGTGTTGGGGTTAGGGGCGTCCCTGTTCTAAGCTGCGTCTGCTTGTCTCCGTCGCCGGGCCTGTCTACCTCTGCTGTCCGCCGCCAGGCCTGTATGTCCCTGTCAGCTGCCACCGGGTCTGTATGTCTCTGCTGGCTGCCGCCGGGCCTGAATGTCCCTGTCGGCCGCCGCTGCCAGGCCTGTCTACCTCTCCGGGCTGCCGCCGCGGGCCTACCTGCGTCTCCTTGTCTCCGCCGCCAGGCCTGTCTAAACCTAGAGCAGCTTTCTCATTTGCTACTTCATTTTGGGAGAGTTTAGCCTTTCTTCATGTGGAAGAGGTCAGCAGCTCTCTTTCCTCATCCTCCCACCCTCTTTCTCTTATACCTCCCCTTCCTTCCTTCCTTCCTTCCTTCCTTCTTTCCTTCCTTCCTTCCTTCCTTCCTTCCTTCCTTCCTTCCTTCCTTCCTTCCTTCTCTCCTTCCTTCTTTCCTTCCTTCCTTCCTTCTCTCCTTTCCCTCTCATCTTTCTACCTTTTTGGTTTTTTTAGAAAAAAAAAAAGCAGGGTCTACTATGTAACCCTGGTTGACCTGTAATTCACTAATTAGACCAGGCTGGCTTTGAACCCAGAAAGAGAGAGAGAGAGACCTTCCTCCCTCTACTGAGTGCTGGGATTGCAGGCTTGACCACCATACTGGGTTTATGTGGTGCTGGGGATGGAACCCAGGACTTCGGGGCTTCTTGCATGCAGGCAAGCATGCTACCAGCTGAGTCACACCCCCAGCCTTGCTTCCTTTCTGTTTTAATTCAGCCCTCTCTTTAACAGCTTCCAGCAGGTCTCCTAATTGGTATGGGCATTCTTCTCCTTAGGTTCCATGCCACGCCCAGGGAGAGCAGCTGGTCACAGCCCTTGGCGGAAGATCTTGGCAATCAAGCATCCACTTGGGGCCCGTAGAAGTCAAACCTGAGTGGGGGATACTTCAGGGGGATGGAGTTCAAAGCTTAGGCCCAAGAACTACAGAACAGCTGAGCCAGGGCCCTGGAGACGGGACACAGGCCTTCCAGGAGCAAGGTAAGACGCAGGTGATGAGCATGGGAGGTCCCGTCCACCCCCAGTCTCTTCAGAAACTCAGCACTGGTGCCAGGCGGGGTGGCTTACGCCTTTAATGCCAGCACTCTGGAGGCAGAGGCAGGTGGATCTCTGTGAGTTCGAGGTCAGCCTGGGCTACAGAGCAAGTCCCAGGACAGCCAGGGCTGCACAGAGAAACCCTGTCTCGAAAAACCAAAAAAAGAAAGAGAGAGAGAGAGGGAGGGAGGGAGGGAGGGAAGGAAAGGAAGGAAAGGAAGGAAAGGAAGGAAAGGAAGGAAAGGAAGGAAAGGAAGGAAAGGAAGGAAAGGAAGGAAGGAAGGAAGGAAGGAAGGAAGGAAGGAAGGAAGGAAGGAAGGAAGGAAGGAAGGAAAGATAGAGAAACTCAGCACTGGGCTGGGCTAAGTAGGTGCTGGTAAGGTGTAATTCTGATTTTCCCGGCCACGCTGTCTGCCCCGGGAGGAAGCAGATGGAATGGTTCTTTACACCTGGACTGGTTTTATAGGGCACATCTAGAATCAAGTTCTGTTATCATTTTTTTCTCCCTTCTCATTTCCCTTCCAGAACCACTAGCAGCTACACTGATGATAAGGGGAAAGATGAACCACACCCACGTGAGACTTTGTTATTACTGAGTCTCAGAGAGCTGTCCTCATGAGTGACTCTGGAGTGTCACTAACTCTGAGGGGACAGGGCTGGGACAGTCCTCTCAGCCAGAACAGGGAAGGGGACACCCAGACTCCTGGCTGTGGGTCATTGTGGTCCTGATTTTTTTTTTTTCTCTTTTCTTTCCTTTTTGGTTTTTTCAGATAATGTGTCTCTCTGTAGCCCTGGCTGTCCTGGAACTCACTATGTAGAGCAGGCTGGCCTTGGACTCAGAGAGAGCTGCCTCCCTCTACCTCCCAAGTGCTGGGATTAAAGGTGTGAGCCACCACTGCCTGGCCCTGAAGTAATTCTTTGTGATCTGTGGTTCTGAGATTGTGTGTGTTGGGGTGGGTGCTTTTGAATTGGCAGACAACAACCCTGATCCTTCTGTGTGTTCTGCTCAGCACTGCCCATTCTTCATGCGGGTCCAGGTCTTCCCTCTGTGAGCACCAGAGACCAAGAGCTTGCTGCTGGGTTCCTTGCAGCAACAGCCCAGATGAGCTAATTTACCTGTTTTGGAAATCTTGTTGATTTATTTTTTGAGACAGGGTCTTATGTAGCCCAGGCTACCCTCAAACTCATTATGTAGCTGATGGGGCCAGAGGGATGGCTCAGCAGTTGACAGTGTTTCCTGTTCTTCCAGAGCACACAAGGTAGGCTTCCAGCGTTCATGTCAGGTGGATCGCAGCCTCTTGTGGTTCCACTCGGAGGATCTGTTCTGTCCTCCCTGAGGACTGCACATATGTCTCTGCCCTCACACACATAAAAAAGTAGCAGAGGATGTCTGTACGCTCCTCATCCTGTGTTTCCATACCCTGAGTGCGGGGATTCTGGGCCTGCAGCACCACGCCCAGATGGTTTGTGTGATGCTGAGGACGGAGCCCAGGGCTTTAGACATGCTAGGCAAGCACTCTAGCAGCTGATCCTTATTCCTAAGCACCGTACTCCATTTTGTTTATTTAACATGACTTTATTCTTCAAAAGTTAAAATTTATTATTTATCATCATCGTGTGCGTGTGTATAAGATGGATATGGGGGTGTTCATCCCAGCCCATGTGTGGAGGTCAGAGGACAGCTTTGTGTGGTTGCTTCTCTGCTTCTGCCTTTATGTGGATCGTCAGGCTTTACCTACTGAACAGCTCTTTAGAAGAACATAGCCTTCAGGTGGGGCCTGAGGGGACACACAGGCTTCCAGGCTCAAGCTTGAAGAGGGAGAGCAGGTGCATCTGGGTGCTGAGGTGGTGGGGCAAGCAGAGCCACAGTAGCCGGGTGTGAGCATGTTGGCCCCTGCACTAAAGCTGGTGGGAGATGGCAGTTCTCCCAGCTCGTCCACATTTGTGGTGCTGAGTCGGGTCTAGCAGGACAGATAGGGCACAGGTGGGCACCAGCGTGGAATTCAGTCCCGGGGACTCTGGACTGCCTTTCTCTGTTCGTTCCCAGACAGCAGGAGCACCGTTTGAATTTCTTTTCATCTCAACTATGATGTTCTGCTTTGATCTTCCTTATCTGAGATGTTCGTTTCCTTTTAGCTCTGTCTGATATGGAGATCACAGCCCAATCAGTTGTTTTCATTTTTGCTGGCTATGAAGCCACAAGCACGTCCATTTCCTTCGTGATATATCAACTGGCTACTCACCCTGCTGTGCAGAAGAAACTTCAGGATGAGATTGACAGAGTTCTGCCCAATAAGGTGAGTGGGTGGTACCCAGAGAGGGAGGGCAGAGGTCAAGGATTCACAAGAACATGTCTCATCACTTGCAATGAGAAATTTTACAGAGAGCCATGCAATGGTTCTTCCACCAGCAAGAGTCTAAAAGAGAAAGAAAGGGAGGATCATGGGAGATGAATGTGACCTGTAGAAATACATGATCTTTAATATAGTGCTGGCTCTGGTGTATCTGTATCTATTATAACAGTTATACAAGTAAGAGACACCAGAAAACCTGTGTGACACCTAAGGGTAAGCACCAGTCCCTCAGGTGTCTGGACAGTTATCTCTGCTGATGTCCTCGGGTGCTGTCCATGCTACCTACGGTGCTAGGCTGGCCTTCACTGGTCTTGGCA